TGACTGTTATACACAGCCAAGTTTCTAAAATGGTCTGGTCGTAAGCCAGATATTATGAGAAATGGCGTGGCATTTGATATTGATGTGAGAATTCATAGTACTTAATAACTAAACCAGAAACTGAATCCAAATAGATTGCCATAGCTGTGCTCTAAAAATTCAAGTGAGTATTAAGTATGACACTTTTTTTTTTTAATTTTCAAGGCACATGGAGTAATATATTTTCCCAGAATTTTATGGATGCTGTCTATCTCTCGGGTCATTCAGAGGATTTCTGGCACAGATGGACCAGAGACACTGAGCGTGACATTGGTTAGTTGTTTAGATTATTTTTCTCTTGTATCTGCATTATCTTCACACTTCTCTGAAATGTGAAACTTCACATTTGGTAAACAGCTTGTCTTTGTGTCCAGTTTCTGGGTTAGAAGACAACAAGCCCTTGGGAATGAAGGAAAAGCAGGAGAGAAACAGTTGTGCTGGAAAACAGGAAAAAACATTGTGCTGCTCACTGTGCAACATCCCTAGGGTGTGTTGTTAGTCACAAGAGGGTTACCAGAAGCCTTTTAGGGAGGGAGAGGCCAGACAGGGAACAACAAGGTGATGGTGTGACACTGAAATGCACCTCTGCCCAGAACACTGTGCACGATGGCGCATGCACTCAATCACAGATGGGGCTGGTGGCCACAGTGGTTTGGCTGCCCAGCACCCCTTTCTTTGTTGTTATTAGTATCAGAGAAACATTCTAAGCAAATGCAGACATACACCCTCTTCTTCTTTTTCCTCCAGAGGAGCACCCTGCTCTGCCCAAGAAGCCTCATGAACAGACAACTTGTTTATCCATTCCCAAAGGTTACCCTTCTAATACTCTTCGAGAAATGATGACTGGACGGCCAGTGGTTTCAACTTACCATAATTTTCTCAAGGGCTTGCAGCTACACAAAAAGTATTTAGAGAATGAGAGCTTTTGCATGTGGAAAGGTAATAGTAAATTGGTTTAGATGCATCTTTGAAGATGTTTTGAGTGCTGATACTTGCTGAGGACAAATACTTGATAAGTTTTATCATAAAGGCAAATTTTGATTAGTATTATTTGATTAATATATTTGTGGAACTAGTTTTGTTGAACCCGAGATGATTTACTGCTGATCTTGTTTCTGTCTTGGAGAAACCATAGTAGGCTTGCTTGAATTCTTCCTAAGAAAAGCCATGAAAGAATGACTTGCAGTTTCCATGGAAGTAGTGGAATAGCCACAAATTTATACTAGTTGAAAAAGCAGCACAACGTATCATTTTGAATGAAGCCAAGTCTCAAAACTGCTCCCTCTTACTGATCTCAGAGTTGAGCTATAGGTGCTAAAATTATGTCAAAGACAAATATTTAACTGTGGGCTTTGTGTCAAAGACTAATACGTGTGGACTGTCTTTTCTTTCTTCCTTTGCTATGCTAATTTGGAAAAGAAATGGACTTGGTCCTGCAGTAATTAATAATACAAGTTTTTACTTTCAGATACAGTGCTGGATTCTTCTCCCAACCAGCTAAATGAAATGGGTGACTACCTCAAACTGATAGATACAGCCTTCTTCATCAACACCAGCTGCCCACCCATTCTGAGGCCAGAGAGAAAAGTGGATGTCATTCTGCACTTAAATTACAGTGGAGGATCACAGACTCTGGTGATGTTTTGAAGCAGTGATTTTTTATCTGTATGACTCCAGCAGCTGAATAACCACCACAGCTCCCCACCCCCTCTCTCTCTTCCCCCTCGAAAATTGTCTGGTTTTAATTAAGTTAAATGATCGTATTAGTGATACTACTCAACACTGTGACCATAATGTTTCTATCAGGACTGTTTTCATTATCTTACTGGGACATACACATGAACACAGATACAATAGAAGTTCACAGATGTCCTATTCTATGCGTCTCTGCAGACTGTCGTTCTGGTACCAAGTTCCACCATAGTTAGTTAAATAACTTTTACAATGTAATTAGTTAATACATAATTTTGAAATTTTTGAATGAAAACTTGGAATTTTTCTTTTATGTGTGACTCTTGGTGTTGGCATAAGTTTCACCCAGGCATTTATTTTGCTGTTTGAAGAAACTTGAGGGGCATATCTGATTGAAATGAATGCAATTTATTTGTAAGAGGATTTGAAGACATAGATTGTTAGATGCACTGAATGCAAACATTTAAGAACCTGTCATCAGAGATGCCATGTGTAATCAAAATTTCCCTACCCAAATCCTCTAAATCACAAAAATGCTCTGAATATCACATAAATTTCAGAAAACAATAACCTTGCTTTGAAAATTTAAAGTGTTAACAAATCAACCAAATTTTTATTACCAAGGATCTATTAAAATCGAGATGATATGCTTGTTCCAGTGCTTACTTAGTATTATTTATAAACATATAAATCAATCTCAGATTGCCTAGTGCAGCAAAATAACAGTTATGGGGCTTGGTAATCTTATTTCAACCTCTCTTTGTGTTGCAACTCTCCTCTCCGTTGAACCAGCCGCTGGACCTATTCTCAGAGTACTGTTTGGAGCATGGTATCCCATTCCCCAGCACAGAGCTGAGCCAGGAAGACCGGGAACATCTGAAGGAGTGCTATGTGTTTGAGGATAGCTTAGAGGCACCGATCTTGGCCTTTTTTCCACTGGTGTGTGATACTTTCCAAAAATACAAGGCACCAAGTAAGTTAACAGCATTAATAATTTTTTGAGGTTGTCACATCAAGTTTATTCATTGAATTTGTTCCTCTTCCAAAACAGGACACTTGCAAGCTTCTGAGTTGGCTAAATTAGTATGTTCCCAGTCCTGTTGTGATGCATTTAGTGTTGGCCAACTAATCGGGGATTGGACTGAAGAGATTCAAAATTAAAAGCATGAATAGCTATACCTTGAGGGAAACCCCCTTATCTGGCAGCTGAAACAGTTTGTGTTCCTTTGATATTAAAGGAGAAGAGGCAGATACTAAGTTATACCCACTGGTAGCTAACACTATCACCAGACAGTCTTGTAAAGAGATATGATATTTACTTGGTTAACAAAGCTAGAATTTCTCCTATTATTTTTTTTTACCTAAAAAAGAATTGAGAACAGAAAGCACTGAAAACATATGATGGAGCAAAGGCTTTACCAGGGTAGCAAGCTGCTTTGATACTTGTAATTTTAAAAAAATTGCTGTATTGTTTTATGTTATTTTATGTTATTTTATTGCTGTATTGTTTTATTGTTCAGCAATAGAAGAAATTTGTTTGTTTCACCAGGAAAAAAACCCTACTTGGCAAATTCAGTTTCAATTTATGAATACTTTTGCATGGCTCAACTCCAATTTTTTTCTTGCTAATTTTGTATTATCCAGGAAACTTTCCTCAAAAAATGAACAAAAATCCATGTATCAGCTTATTGGAAAAGACCTCATGCAGTTCATCATCTTATGTATTCTGCTGCATGTGCTTAAAATCTCAGCCACCTGAGAGGGAGGATTCCCAAACCAGGAGCTTCCTGGCATAATTTTCTACCAGTTGGTAGATAAGAGTTATCATCTCAGTACTCAATTGGAAAGTTAAACATACAAAATTCCAAATCTTAAAAAATGAAATATTCTGTTGCAAAACTTTAATTTAGAGAGGAAAGCATTTTACATGGAAAAGTTGTTCAGTCGGTCACTTCTGGATCAGCTGTAACTGTAGTCAAACAGCAAGTTTGTATATTTTGTTAGTGCAGCAGACATAGTACCTATGCAGTAATTAAACCTTGAATCATTTTCAGGAGATTATTCAGTTTCGTGTGTCTGTAACTGTGTATTTTGCATTGCTTGGTAGCAGTTTTCCACATCAATAACATTGCTGTATTCCTGTTTCAGATATGGAGCGCAGTCCCACAGAGATGGAGCAGGGAAGAGTAGACGTGTCCAACTGTACTGCGCCGTATGGCACTGGTCTGCTTACGTATAGCGAAGAGAATTTCAATAAGCTGCTTAACCTGTGCTGCTACAATATCCTGAATAATAAACACTTAATTCTTCAGGCTTTGCAAACTGCAGTGGAACGAAAGAAGCGATTTAAAAACTATTCATCACCTCATTCACATAAATTCTCTTAAAGTATATTTTGTTGAATCTCACCAGAAGGAGATATACAAATGTTTTGGTACTGGACTAATGCATATTAATCTGCTGCAAGCTCGCAGATGTTCATGATGGCAACAAAATTTGATATGAACTCCTTTGACTTCTGCAACAGTGTGGTGGTCAGTGTGTAGCTGCTGCTACAATTTTATTCCCACTGCCATCCAAAGCACAGACAGGGGAAAGTTTATGTGATTTTCATACTTGTCTTAGAAAAATGGTTGCTTAAGAAAATGTATTTAACTGATCATTCTTAGATCTTTGCTGTTGTCTGTAACAATATACATACATTGTAATAGCTATTGTTCAAATACTAAGTACCCATGCATAATCTTATTAAGAAGAAGAGTTTTATAGCTACAATCATTGGCGTATGGTTTTTTTATTAAAATCCATGGACTCAGCTCAGCTAGTGAGTTGATCTGGGGAAAAGCTATTCTTGCTTCTGATACCAAGAAATCAAATATCGAGGCAACAAAGAGCTTTTTTAAAAACCTCTGAGGAAGGATGAAAGAAGAGCTGCCACTTCAACTGTGGAAGATGAAAAATGGAAGGAAAGTACTTTCAAGAGTGCAGATGACTCGAATGATAATATGACGTTTACTAGTCCAAATACTGGTATTTGAAAATTCTGAGGTATTTATTTAGTAACATGGAGTACAGCACTTGGCTTGCATATATTTTCATCAGCCCTTTCTGTTCCCCTTTGTGGTCATCTCATTCAATACACTGGCATGAGTATATAAAAAAAGCAAATCCATCTGTATATTGCAATATGTCCACATTACCATAGGACCATGACATCTTCTTTCCTTCTCCTGTGTCGTGGTCAGACGGTAATGGGCTCAGTCATCTGGTCATACAGGTCTCTGCTTCTTAAGCAAGAGGTAACATTGTTACCCCTAAGACAGCCCTTTTCTGTGCATTAGTTCAATTAACAGGAGATATCACTAGCAGGTGTCTGTCAAGCTTTGCTGCAATACAAATTAAACAAACAAAGTCTCCTTTCATAAGAGGAAACTGTTGGCAGTAACCTTTGCGTCTCATTTTCATGAATCTAAAGTGGTCAAGTCCAACAACTTTTCTTTTTTCTCAGTTACTGATAAATCTTTCTTTTCCAACTCTGCTTTCTTAAGAAGAAAGCCAGTTTTTCACCTTCTGTTCTTGCTCTTAGGTAGGATAATCTGATGTTATGTGTCACCAGCAAGACTGCAATAGTTTTCTGTAAGCAAAGAAGAAAAGGAAGATGTCACTCTGACAGCTCAGTTATGTTTGTAAGTTTATTTTTAAACAGCAATGAAATGAGCATTTAAAAATGTGATTAATTCCTTTTGCAAAGAATCTTTTAAGTATTTTAAAGATTTTCAAGATTTATTATCAGAGCTCCAGGAAGATCTAACAGAGGCAGTACAGTTTGTGCCTTGTATATTGCACTGACTGGTTTTTGGTGGTTGCAACACTTGGCGCTGAGCCTTCAGCTTTGCTCACCCAAGGTGTGGTGATGATGTGTGTTTTTGGCAGCAGATCCAGAAAATTAGGATAGCTTAAAATGAGCTGAGGAAAGGGAGTCTGTTTTAAGAAATCTGGGCCTGTTGAGCAAGCCAGTGAAAAATCTTAGGCTATCCAAATGGTCTAGCTTAGCATCTCAATATTTTGACTTGAGGGAAGTCAGAAAAATGCTTATGTTTGTGTTAGGACCTGGCTCCAAGAATTTAACACTGCATGAGACTAACGCTTTCCCTGGGAGACCCAAGCTCAGTGGTCTTACCTTGGTGTCTTGTGAGTTTCCTCCAAAATGGACTCATTTGCTTTCTTGTGTGGGGAAGGAAAGACTTCTTTTTACGTTCTATTAAAACCTGCTCGTATTGTTCACATTGCAGCAATACCTCATCATCTTGCCTGTGATGTGATGGTGAAAGGCAGCATAAAATGATAGGGGAAGAGATGTTTGTTTGAATGATTTGCCAGCTATTCATCAAAAATAACAGAGGAGAGACATTCAGTATTACTGGTGGTGTTTTTTAAGGAAGGAGCTGAGGCTTTTGTGACATATCAGCTGGATTTTTCAAAGTGATTCAGCATTGATGTAATTGCTCTATTTAAGATCCAGGTAGGTCAGCAACAATTTCTTTTTTTTGAAAACACCTGTTTGTGACCTGTCACACAAGCTCTGCTAAATGTAGTGGCATGATACTGGAAACAATTAACTGTAAATCTTTGTAGACTCTATTAGGGCTCACACATCTCTCGGGCTGACTGTGGATGAAGTTACCCCAGCTGGTAACATGAGGTTACTTCCTGATATTCTGAGAATTGGTTCAGATTGAAATTGGCTCTAGATTTCCCTGTAAAGGTCTTGGACTATGTGTCTTGTCATATTTATGACAAACTAATTACTGGGTAATTAGTTGACACAGGCTGGTGCTGGTGTTCCTCACACCTGTGGTCTGATGGGGGTAGGGCAGCAAAAAAGCTGCTTGAACAGTGCTTGAAATGTTGAATGAACCTGTAAAGGTCAGGCAACCTCTGAGTGTTCCTGCAAAGGCAGAGAGAGGTGCTGCTGGATGCTCAGAGCTACAGAGCACAAGGAGAGGCAGAGATAAAGGTCTTGAACTACTACTTTTTGAGACAAGGATTGGATTTGAAATTCTGTTGCAACAAGTCTGAAGGGAGGGTTGCATGTATTGGTAACAGATGGGCCAACACTTTGGTGATGATTTTTGGACGGTAAAGCAGCCCAATTGCTTCATCTGAGTGAGTAGGAAGAGCGAGATTTTATCTCTCTAAAACATATCGAAGGCATGTGGAATTGTTTTAATCAAGTTTCTCAATAGTCTTTTGAAGGCAGAAGTCCTCCTTCACATATGTCATAATCAGAATAACCTCTTAAGCAAAAATGTAATACCCTCACCCCATCAGCTAGTGTGATTTCTCTCTTCAATGACTGATTTTGCACTTTTCATTCTCATGAATTTAAATTCAGATTCAGATCGAAGTTCTCTCCTGCTTACGAATGGATAAGGTTTTTTCAGACTTTTTTCCTCTTATGCCCTCTGTCACCTTCTCCATGAATACTTTTTCAGGAAGTCCTTTTTGTATCTAATGTAATCTTATTTTTGAGTTTATGTGATACAAAATATGTTGAAGAACAGGTTTTCTGAAGGTGAGTTATATAGAAACATGAAAATAAAATGCCAACATATTAATGTGAAAGTTATATATATATATATAACCCCATATAAATATATGTGTATGGGTGTGTGGTTTTGTTTGTTTTCAGTTTTGGTTTGTTTTTTTTTTTTTTTTTTTTTTTAATACCAGTGAGTTGCTTTAAATTAGTGGCAGCCAAAAATTATCTGGCCAAAGTTGAATTTTTCAGAGTTGGAAATCTGACACCATGGGGAGGGAAAATGACACTTTTCATCCATGGTAAATCTTGTCTGTGGAGATTATTGAGTTTAGGTCCTTTGTGTAACTGGAGTTTGACTTGAACTGTTTGCTCTTGTTTGATTGGCCCGATTAGGTCTTTGTGGATTTTGTAGCTTGTGGAAACATTAAAAAAAAAAAAAAAGAAAACAAGCTGAAAGGCGATACCCACAGAATATCTGACACTATGTTTGTTAATTCGCTTTATGTGTTAATTCTGAGTAATTATTTTTTAATGTGACATCTGGCTATCATTTTTTAATGCCTCTAGAATGTTTTTTGGATATTTACCCTTGTTACATTCAAAGTTTTTAAATGATGACCACTCCCATTGTCATCCCAAGGGTGGTACAAGGATTCTGTTCTCTTGCAATAATATGAAATCCCCCATTAGTCATACATTTCTGTTGTCCTGCATTTTCAGAATGTGACAAAGTGGTATATAAGGTAATTGTGGGATATTGAAAGCAGGTGTTATTCTTACCTGCAACCTATTGCAGTTAGATATACAATTATCTGAATGTCATGTTGGTTGAATTAGTACTTGCAGCAGGCTAGTTTAGGTGAATTTTGACCGCCTCAGATCATTGGGATATTTATATTTGCTCCACTTTGCAAATATTAATTAATTAATTTAATTAATACACAGATACAAAATCGTGTGCATGTATGTGTGCACTGCAAAGTGTGTGAAGAGCAGAGGAAAACTGTATCTTCCTTTTTACTTTCCTTGTTATTGCTCAGAGCTTTAAGGAGACTGCTGAGTGTTCCCTCATCAGTTACACAGTCTCTCTAATCTTTAAAAAGAAACGAGTGCAAGTAGTATGTATATGAAGATCACTGTCAATTTAAAATTGATACTCTGGAAACGTGATTGCTAAAAAAAGCCAATATATATCTCTTTAGACTTTGGGTAACTTCAGCCATGAATTTACTCAATGCATGCTTGATGGTTGTCTTTGTAATTCTCCTTGAATTATGGAAGAACTAAAGAAAAATGCAAAAAACCTCAGCAGGATACATGACCTTTGAAGTAGTAATTTTTTTGAAATTACAATCCTGTCTCTCAGACTCCAGTGGGACAAATTGCAAATTCATGATTACTTTTTTTTTTTTAAAGCAGATTGTGTAGTAGACATCAGTGAATAAAGCAAGTTTTCTCAGTGACGACAAAGACTTACTGTTACAGGTGTTATGATCATTCAGTGCTTAGTTCTATCATGAATTTACTGCATGGCTGAAAAACTGTCGAGATCATAATTCTTGATTGGCACAAAACCTTCAAAGATACTATATTCAAAAGCCTTCTTGTGTGATTTGGACAAGTAGTGGTTAAGGGAGACAAGATCAGCTGCAAAAGTTGATGCTGGTCAGGAGTAGGAGAGAGTGAATTATTTAGGAACATGTTTTTGATATGGCAATGATAACATTATTTTGAGAAAAGGAAAACATAATCTGAACATCAGGAAACCATTCAGTAGACAAAATGCACTGACTCTGGAATAATTTTCTACACTGTGAAGTGGTGTCTCATTTACAGATCTTAAAAACAGTGTGGGTAAGAGAATGTAATGTCAGGGAGTCTTGTATTGGCTGTGAAACAGTTGGAATGGTATAAATCTGTATAGGTACCTATATGTGCCTGGGACAGCTTGGGGAAGTTGAGCTGGATAGCCTACTCTCTTTCTTTTGATAGAGGATGTTTTACAGACATTTTAAATGAAAACAGATTCCTACTTTAAATTT